CTGTTAACCAAGTGTGCTAACAATTTACCAGTCCATCCTCTATCTGACTATCTCGGGAGGGACTCGACATAATTGCTGCATCTGAGTGGCTTCTTGTGAGTACAGAACCTGCCAAAAACCATGTCAATGTCAACAATTTTGGCTCATTAACAAACACAACTGACAAAAGAGAACACTGGTCAATCCAATGGCATCATAAGCAGGAGCTTTAAACATCACAAAAATATACGAGAAAAAGAAAACAATTCTACTATTTCAAACTTTCCAACCGCTCATCAGAAGATTTTTTTTACTTAACCGTACATTAAGCTTAAAATTTTTGCTTTATGTTTCTATTCTACTTCTACCGACCGGGCAGGATGAGTTCTGCAATATGTGACACATTAACAAACGTGACCAAGAGCAAACTAGCTTTTTTAATCGGCCAATTTGATATCATGAGTTATTGATCAGCGAAGAGGGAAAAATCAATAAAAAGCGCATATCCATAGCACCAATTAAGCTTTGAAGTTCGAAACTTGGCAAAACCATATGGGGCAACCAAATTCATGAGCAATCATCAAATGAAAAGATAATCAAGTTTACCCTTCACGCGTGTACTCAAAAAACCAAGATTTAAGAAATAAAAATTCAATAAAATTGAGAACAAAATTCATCCGTTGACTAATAAATCCGCATTAGCACCACCTACTAGTAGCAGACAGCCAAAGCTTCAAAGAAGAAATTATATAAATTTGGAAAACGATTAGAATGGAGACAATTATCAGAGACAAGCGTCGGTAGGAAAAAAACAAAGAAAAATAAAATGGGAAGTCACCATCACGATGCGGTTTATCCGTCAGGAGCTTGTTCCTACGGACGCCTGCACTCGAGTTAAACAGGTTTACCATTCTTCCCGCACATCCAGGGAAAGGTTTTTCCATATTATTATGGACTTTTCTTCTTTGAACCTCCTTCATTTGAACACTGTAAAAATAGGATTCCAACTAAATCAACAAGATATAGACCGGCTAATTTCTTCAAAAGGAACAGAGCGTATGTTCTAAGTTCTATTATTTTACAAGACAGGAAAAAATAATGGGAAATTATGCACAGAGTAGTTTCGTACCTTAAAGTTTCTGGCTTCAAGCTTCAGCCCCAAGAGAGAGAGAGAGCGAAAATTTGGAAGGTAAGATCCCAAGTTTCAAGAGGAAGAAGCCAACGACCATATGAACACAGAGAGAAGACGAGAGAGAGAGAGAGAGAGAGAGTCGAAAGAGTATTTAAAGAGGGGAAGAAACCATCCCTTCAATCGACACAGGACAAAGAACTGAGCAATGCAGACGGAAAATTCTGCATGTTTACACGAAGCATCACATAAATTATTACGTCACAGCTCGATAACCCAAGAAACTTTCAAATTCCACACTTAATTTAACGCTGTTGAGTTCTCTGGGGGAAGGAGCTCACTGATCGAGGTTTCATAGAACTCAAAATTCAACTCGACGTTCAGAATCAAAGTCTAAGAAGCACCGGGATCGAGAATTCCCCCTACAAGAAAAGCAAAACAGCAGAATGACATGAACAGAAGCAAAGAAGCAAAACCCAGCAATCAGTAACCGATAATCCGAAGATTAAACAGAAAAAGTGACACGCAGTTATCAGTAAGTCAATTCAAAACCACAATTAACTCCCGAAACTAAAAAGGAGCAAGTATAGAGATAGAAAAGGAGAATCTAGTTTAAAAAATTAGCAAGGAAAGAAAAAGGAAAAGCTGCAATTGATTCAGGCAGAAAGAGAGTGAGATTCGAAAGCAGCTGAAAGGGAGAAGAGCTTCGGGAAACGAGAGATCGAAAGGGAAACATAAAAATGCAGAAGAATTAAACAGCAGCGGCGGAGTAAAGAACCAACCAACATTCTGACACAGAGAGAAGCATTCCACAGAGTGTGATTGAGAAGCTGAAAAGGAGTGAGGTGGGAGCCGAAGGAGCGACAGAAAATCTCGTCGGAAAGTTGGCCGGAGATGCGGCCGGGATCTATGATCAAGTGAGAAAGACGAAGAAGAAGCAAATTGCGTACTCGTGCGGGAGGGTATAAGTTGTATCTCTCTCTCCCTCTCTTTCTCTCTCTCTCCACCGACTCGCCGTCGGACTTGAAAACATTTTATAAAATATGATTTACTTTATGCTTTCGATTACGAACCAAACCGTGTATTGGTATTTGGTAATTTGGCGTTGAGAATGGTTTTTGTTTATTAAATTTTGTGAATTTTGTCTTTATATTGTAATATTCTGTCTATATTAAGTTTCCAAATCTATTTTTGTATATACAATTTTTAATTCTTTTTTTTATATACAAAATTTTTAATTCTTTCTTTTTTATATATAAAAGTTTTTAAATCTTTTTTTTATATAAAAGTTAAAGAATTTATTTAATCAATATTATGACAATGATAAAAAAAAAAAGATCGAATTTAAAGTCTATAAATTTATTTTTATTTTTAATTTAAAGGTTAAATAGATAAAATGTTGCACATAATTTAAATTGATAATAATTTAATTTATTTTTTAATAATTTAAATTAGATGAAAATCTACCTATCATTATTGATATTTTTTACCCTTTTTTTTTACAATGATACTTTGGTTTACTTTTAGACAATAACAACTTTTTATTATACCGTTGGAATAATTAATGTTATCCCTCACATGTAATTAATCATTTTATTACCATAAAAAGGTAGGTTGATTTGATTGGGCGGATTTAATTTTTTTTTTTTTTAAAACTCAATTTGGGTCTTTTTTTTTTTTTTCTTTTTACTAAATTTGAATATTTTATTTTATTTTATTTTGAGGTTGTGAGAGGGTTTCATATTTTGGTTTTTGTATGAATATTTTCCCAATATATTGTGAAATATAATTTTTAAAGACTCAAACTTCAATATTACAACGTACTATTTCATACACACAAAGTGAAGCGGGTAGAGATTTGAATGGGGTAGGGGGCAAAATGAGAAATATAATCCTCATCCATGCCTTCATTTGGCGAGTGAAAAAAAGTCTTTTCTCACTCCCTCCCATATTTCGAGTTTAAACGATGATTCTCTATTCCGTACGTACCAAATTCCCACGAGGTTGGGATATTTCTAGAGGCCAACAACATTCTTTGCTAAAAAATTGTTAGTTGAAATGAGTCTATTTCTAATGTATTATTTGCTAATAATACACTCATAATTGTTATTCGAATTTCACATTACATATTTCTCACAACAAATCAAAGGCATTGGGTAATGTTAAAGATCAACTTTGGGTGGAAATGGTCAGGTTTTTTTAATCATGGTTAATTATTTAATAAAAAAAAAAGCTAATTAATATGTATTCATTCTATTAAAGTCCCTCTTACGTTTGTTACTCTCAAAATAATAATTTACAATAAAGTTTGTACCACCGATCAGTATTAAATTATATATATAATTATTTCCGTCTCCAATAAAATATAATATTGGTGGGAGAATATCCTATCGCCTAACATCTAATTTTTTCTGTCAAATTAATGTATGAATTAAGAATAGAAAAAAATGGTTAATTATTGAATAAATACATATATAGTTCCATCTACCTCCAGACATGGGAAGGACATGGGGTCCCATTTTATTTATTTGGTCACTATAAAATTACTATTTTTTTCCAACAATTTGTAGTTTATATATATATATATACAAATGAAAAATGTTTAGCTTGAGTTATAAAGTTGTTTTTATCCCATTAAAAGCATTTAATGAGATATTCATAGTGTTTTTATTAGATAGCCACAAAAATGGGGTCTAAAAATTATAAAAAATATTAGGAAATTTTTTCATTTAAAAAGAAAGGTATTCATTTTTCAGTGAATTTTGTTAATTTTAATAGTAAGAAGTGGATAATTGAACCTTATAACCTATTGGTGATGACGTATCGAGACTAAATTAGCTATACTGAAAGTACATAAGCCGAAATGAATCAAACCCGATAATATACCAATAAAAAAAAGCAACATTAAAAAAGAAAATATAAAAGCAAAAAAAAAAAAAAAAGTGAAAGCAACAGAGAGAGAAAAGAGAAAATTTGGTGTCTTCCAGTGTAATATGCTTTATAATATTTCCATACTTAAAGGGTCAAAACGACGCGGTTTTGACCTCAGAACAAAACAACCAGAAAATAATTCTCTATGTAATTTAATAGTTAATGAGTTTTAAATTATATCGTATTGATCTTAAATCAATTTTGTTTCATATTTCTTATGGATATATTAAAATTCTTAAACAAAATTAAAAAAAAATGCATTTAAATTAAAATATAGAAAAAAAAAAAGGAAATTTCGAACAACTTTTAAATTAGAATAATATGAAACTAATTAGGAATTTGACAATAATTAACGCATCCTAAAAAATGAGACACCAAAAGAAATAATAATTGGGGTATGGAATTTGGTGGAAAGGGAAGGGGGAATAAAGAGTCTTAGTCATGTATCATAACCACCACCTAACCACTCTGCCTTTGGTGGAACAAATGCAACCTTCAAAAATTCCATTAACCCCTCAAAAAGTCAATTTTTAGGTACATTTTCTTCTAATTTGTTTAATGCCAACCCATGTTACTCTCTACCAAATTTCTCTCTCAAAACAATAGTTTATTACAATATAACCCTACTTCAACTTAAATAAAACTTACTTGTGGCTCGACCAAAAGATAAAGGATTAAGGATTGAGAGAAGTCCCATATCGACTAATTAAGAGATTGATCATGGGTTTATAAGTAACGAATATATCTCCATGGGTATGAGATCTTTTTAGAGAAACTAAAAGCAAAGCCACGAGAGTTTATGCTCAAAGTGGACAACATCGTACCATTACGAAGGACTCTAATTCCTAACCTAAAGTTCATCTAAATCTAAATTCACCAAGGAAAGCAATTCATGGAGAAATTGAGAGTTTATTTCTCTGTAAAATAGAAAGACAGGTCAAAAGAGGACACAAAGGATCAATTGTGAGTTGAACCTGGTGTCAAACGTAATCCATTTCAGTTATAGCGACATTTATTTCACTTCTAGTGACATCCCAGCTAAGTTTATCAGTCAGTAGAGAGCGTACCTTCCCTTCTTGAAAGAACGACTCGGGTTGGATGAAGAAGGGCTGTCCATATTCTGAACTGTCAATATTACATTCTTCATTGACAGGGGATGTTGGTCTCATTTCATCCAGTGGGTACTCAAGTAGATGGTAAGCTGTTTGGCAGTGCTCCTTTGAGCCTGAGAGGTATTTCCATCCAAAATCAAAGACGAAGCCAGAAGCACACATACTATCTAAAGAAGGATACCGGTGTTCGTCATCCAACGCATAATTCATATGCCAATTAGCACTTTGTGCACAGAAGAAGCCACAGATGCCACGGTCATCGACATAGTTATCGCACTGACTAAGACATTTGGGTACAGATGAGAAATTCAAATGCACGTTGTTGAGAGTGGCGTCTATACCTTCCTCTTTTTCTACATTAGGCCTACTTAACCCATGGATTTGATAGCTGGCTAAACTGGAGTATGGCAATGAATATAAGTCCCTATGATTACTGGAAGGGAAAGGGGAAGAACAAAGTGCAACAGCACCAAAACTCTCGTGCAAGTTTGGCTGATGATCATCAGCGAACGAAATTGGTGGCTCAGCAAATGTGTGGAACTCTGTAAATTTAGAACTGTCATCTTTTATGTCGTCCGTATCCCAACCCAGCAGAAGAGGTTCCATCTCTTGCTTCCTTATGTGCAAAGGTTCACCTTGATCATAGAAACCGTATTGCTGGTTGAAAAGGGTGGAGATAAGTGGTCTATAGTTTTCAACTGCAGCAGTACTAGGTGAACTATTGGCATCAAGCAAAGTCATTTTCCCTTCTACATCACTGTCAAACTCCTTGGTCCTGTACTTAACGTGGAAGTTGTCATCATCGTTATTGGTTGAGAAATCAGAGTGGAAAAGAACTCTGCCTCTTGATTTATTCAAACGACAAGGCGATGAACTATTATTCAAACGATGCTCATAATCAAGCCTTGGCCAGCACCTTCCAGGCAACCATTGTAGTTTTTCCAAGTTATTATTAAACTGTCGAGAATCAGGTTCATTCTAAAGCCAGTAATTCAGAAAAGAATTAGAAAAAAAAAAGTTGAAGTTATTGGAAGATGGTAAAAGTGCATAATACCTTATACTGATTGCTTTCAGGTATAAGCCGACTAAGTAGAGTGGAAATAACACCATACCTGGACAAGTTCCAAAAAACTCCATAGTCGGATCCAGAAAGACGACGGGACAACAGATAGAACAAAGATGACTCTGACCTCTTCTCATATGATTCACCAGTTCCATGGAACGACATATTCTGAATGAACTGACGTAATTTCTGCCTCTTCCTACTAAAAATATCTGCATGAATATAAAGAGTACCTGATCAAATATGCTATCGTGACTATCCCATCTATCTTTCTAATGTAGACCACTAAATGAATGCATTACACATTAACGAACATGGCTCAGAATTTTTTAAGACTATAAGATCAAGGCTCCCCAACTCTGTTGAGAATGCAAAAATGGACCAAAAAAGAAACCATTGGAAAATGATAAGGAATATATGCATACACAAAAGACGAAACATTTGCTCATAAGAACTCAAAATTGTGATTCTCTATTTTTTTTTAAAAAAAAAAGAAGCAAGAAAAAGAGAGAGAACGAAACTCAGACGAAAGAATTACCATCATTTTCCACGTTTCTCTGTTTGCTCTGTATATCCTTAAATGTTTTATGAGCGTGCTTCACATCTACCTCTGCAATAAAACAAAGAGCACAAATTACTATTTGGAAACTGTTTTGTCTTCCTGTGGGATCTCATTTCATCATGTACTGCAAACCCAAATATCGATAAACAAATTGAGAGACATTACACTGATACATGCAATGTGTGAAAGAAAATCTCCGACTCATTTTGTATTGACAACTCATAATGTCTTAGTTCAGTACATGGATGAAAATGTATTTTTCCTATACATAGTATAGAGTTACAGAATACTGGGGACGACTTAATTATACATCTTCGTTCAATCTCATGTCAGGATGAATTAACAGAAAAGGGAATACCAAATATTAACGAGTGTCTGCTTTAAGTGCATACCTGAAATTTTGGATGAATTACCCAGGGGTAAATGCATCGAGTTAAAGTTAATAGGAGTAACATTCTCAACAAAAGGATGTGATGTGAAGTCTTCACGGCGATTTTCAACATGCCTTGCTCTCTCTGCTTGGAAACAAAATAATGGGTACAAGTTACAAGTTACTTCCAACTTTTATTGGGAGATATTGATATTATCATTTTTATGGTCGATTCCAAGAATGGGTTAAACTTGAAGAAAAAATACATGTCAACATTGAGCTGAGTGGAAGGTCTTAGCCTCACATGTGCAGATAAGGCAGACACTGGAAGTATAGTTCTTAAAAAGATCCACGTGTTCACATCCAAAGTATATATATATATATATGTATATTTGCTGCTAACACTGATATTGCAAGTAACGTTTATGTCTTACCTCTGAAATGATCAGTCGAGTTGAACTTCTTTGGTTGAAGTTCCTTTTGACGTTGAAGAGATGAACTGAATCTACGGTTTGCATCTTCCTTGAACTTCTTAAAAAATGCAAACTCAGAAGTTTTTGCATTATTTGCTGCTCATCGCTCCCATACAAGAAAACATATCAACATTTCAACTATTTAACAAGGATCATGCACTAATACAATAAGAAACTTAACTAGAACAAAACTCAAAAAAGAAAAAAAGACAGAGAACTGCGAACACTGGGAGCCTCGAATAGCTCGCTACTCTAGGGAAGTACAATTGAGAGTTGGGTAATGTAGAAAACTCACGGCATGTAACATGTCCTTTCAAGGATACGGGAGAAGTATCTCTTCTGCATGTCAAAGGTCTAGCACAATCAAGGTCTCCAACTTTTATTCTCTTCCGACAGTTACTATCTATAAGGAACGTTCATGAAGGATTTATCAAAATTATTACTCAAGTGAAGAAACTTTTGGAATCATTTAATTTTACTAAGTAGAAATTCACTTCCTGTAACAATTTAGAGAAAACAAGGATAACTGCAAAACGTAGTCACACAATAGCAAATGTAGCTTCTATGGTTTAAACGTTACTTCATACGCAAGGGTATCAATATGACATATTGAGGTTTATATATAAAGATGAATTTTTATTAAGACAACAGCCCCCTCCACGGTGATATGATATTGTCCACTTTGAACATAAGCCTGCATAATTTTACTTTTGATTTCTTATCTGAAAGGTCTCATATCACTGAAGACATTATTATCTACTTATATGCTCATTATTGACATTATTATCTACTTATATGCTCATTATTTGGGACTATGGTCAAACTCCCAACAAACTGGATGAAGAAAGCTAACGATAGCGGAGTACAGGAGAGACATTACTGATCAAAATATTGGATTTGTAATCAATTAAGGCAATTTTTACGTGCAGTTTAAAGAACAACAGGAGTACATACAAGATCACTTACGGCTTCTCATGACAGAATATACCAAATTACGTGAGAGAAAGATAACACAACATCAAACATTCATTAATGAAATGAAGTTGAGCTATAATTGGCCAGAAATGAAATCCATCGAGGCAACGAAATCGAACTAAACAACAATAGTAACTTAAATACATTGGAACCGGAATGAAATTATAAAAGAATAGTGGCAACAAACAAAACCGATCCTCTCAGGAACAAAATTCTTGAAAAAAAAATACTAAAAAATTAAACGGGGGAAAGCATGGTGTGTAATCGAGAATCAAAGCAACAGCAATATATGAAAATTAAAGAAACTCAAAAACATGATAAGGAAGAATCGAAGAAGAACCAGTAGAAATGGACGGTTTGAGATCACGCTTCATGGTAATGCGCGCCCTGTAAACGAGGGATTGTGGTTTCTGTGGAAAGAAAAAATTGGGCGCCAAAATGGTGGTACATAACAAGGAGAACACAGCGCTTTCAAGAACGTGTAAAAAGTTTTACTTAGATAATTAACTTTAATTAATTAATTAAATAAATAATAGATTTAATTTAATTTAATTTTAGAAAGTAGAATTATTAAAAAATAAATATGGTAGAAAATAGCCAAATGGAGAGTCATAGAATAAAATGAGTAATTAAACTAATATGCTAAAATGGTGGAATATATTTTTATTTAATGTAATTTCAAAATTGAGAATTAAAATTTAAATAATTTGAAAGTCTCTATAATATAAAGGAAATAAATTAATAAAATCAATTTGCATGTAAATATTCAAATGTTACTAAATAATAGATTAAATCTAATTACGTAAATATTTCTTTGGAAATTAAAATCTAAAATATATATATATATATATATATATATATATATATATATATATATATATATATATATGTTTTAGAGTAATTTGGAATAAAATCACATTTTGAAGAGAATTTTTATGCTAAGCTGGAAAAAAAAAAAAACTCAGTAAAAGACTAGATGGACTCACGAACTCCTATTTTCAGAAGATTGATTGTAAAATACCTCCAAATGTTGCAAAAACATCTAAATACCTTAAAAACAACACGAAGCAACTAGACCATAAAGAGAGTAGGGAGGATAACGCTATTGGCAAAGACCGTTTGAACGGAGGTGCGGAACGTGGTAAGACTGCGCCATAGGAGCATAGCATAGACGGGAAGGGGAGCTTGGACGGTAAACCAGGCAAAAACGTTGCAGGCGCGGAACGTGGTACGCCTGCGCCATAGGAGCATAGCATAGACAGGAAAGGGAGCCTGGACCGTAAACCGGGCAAGGGAGGCCAGGTCATTTGACGGAAATGGAAGGCTTTTCTTTCCAAATGGGAATAAAATGCTCTCTTATTTCATGCATAAACTGGAGATCCTTCCTTGAAACAAATGCATCCACAAATATCTTAAAATACATGTTCCTAACTAGAAACGCAAGTGTCACTCGAGGTAGAATTAAGAAAATCAACAGGTCAGTCACCAAATGGCTAAGAAAACAAAATGTGCCTAGAGCCTTATGTCTCTGTATTTTTAGCATTCGCTTCAGATAGCAAAGGCTCGAGCTCTCCTTTTCGGTATAGTTTCACAGTATCTGCAACACAACGGCGAGCACAAGCGACATCGATAATCAATATAAGTGAAGCAAGCAATGTATGTTTCCATTGAATGAAAGCTTTGGTAAAAAAAAAAAAAAAAAAATGTACCTGTACAACCGCCTATGTGCTTGCCCCCTGGCCACAGAAAGAGGTATGTGAGTTTAAACAATACTCGGTACGCGCACAAGAATATGATTTGGGGAAAAATCTTTAGATGACGAGACTCCATGAAATAGAACGGTAGTCGTTATTCGAAACAACACAAAGGGGCAGTATTTTTAAACACGGGGGGGGGGGGGG